GTCATGTAGGCTATTCCAAGATGTGTCATAGTCCTGTCAGTCTATGTTTACTCAGAAGTAAGAAGCAGTGTGTTAATGTGCCTTATGCTTAGGTAAGCTTCCATAGGATTGTAGCTTTAGAATATGTTGCCATTGAAGTCCAGATGTACTTCATTAGTGCTTATCATTATTAATTCCCTCTTAAATCTGATTCATAATCACTTTTAAAGCAAGAATGTGCATGTCAAATCTGCTCTTCTAAAGGGTTTTTCTAAAAAATATTATTCCTATTTGCAATATAAACATGTAGAAATACAGTGCTTCACTCAAGATTCTTAAAGGAAAATGTGATTTATACATTCTTGCACTCTTTTGAGTGATGCATGTATCACATGTAGAATGTCACAAACAAGCAATCTTTAAACAATAATCGACAAAGAAGTATGTACCCTGGGTTAAAAAACAAGTTCTGTTCTTGAGTACATCCTTCAGTCAAATTTGTCTGTAAGTTGGATGACACAAACGAGTCAGATGTTTGCTTTAGTGTATGTATATATCAGGGGTGGCCAAATTGAAGCTTGCAAGCTGCATGCAGCTCTTTGAGCTTATTTAGTGGCTTGTAGAGTGGCTGAAAAAGCCCAACAGTCCAGTACTGATTGGTTTGGCAATGAAATGGAGGTGGGGACAAGGAGCTGGTGCTGTAGCAGCCCCATAAACCAGCTTGGTGGTTTTCAAATGGCAACTGTGGGGTATGTGAGTGCGATGTGCACATGGGGCAGACTTGAGCATTACTGCGCCAGGGCTGCAGCTGAGAGAGGAGAGGAAATGAGGACGGAGCTGAGTGCCTGTGCTGGCTTTCAAGCGGTCTGAGTGGAGGGTATTGGGGCCAAATTGGTAGATGAAGATGGGGAGTTGGTGCTGGTGCCACACCATCTGAATTCGTGAAAGAGGAGGAACTATGCCAGTGCAGATTATTACTGTATGTGAGCATGGCTGTGGACTGGTGAAGGGAGCCTTTTTCTCCTCAGCCTTATGGAATGCTAGAAGAGCCCAACACTTTGGTCATAATAAATAAATATTTGTTCATGTCTTGCAGATCTCAAATATCTGACATTTACTATATGTGGCTATTCTGTTGAGCAAGTCTGGCCACTCCTGGTATATATTTTACCTTTCTATGACTGTAAAACACTTAAGAAACACTTCCATATTCACAAAAAATCTTAAACACAAATATAGCATTGTAATAATACAGTAATAATAAAGTAACTATAGGTACTGGAGAGAGAGAGAGAATCTGTATGTGTGTATGTGCATAGATATACAGTATTGTAAAACAAAAACAAAAAACCCCTCAGAACAGTTCTTAAAACAGGTTAGAACTTTCTTGAGATAACATTAAGGCTAACATTAACTGATGATAATAGAGATGGACCTGGTGCTGGAGAGTCAGGGTTTGATTGCACTGCTGTGGGGGGCGGGGAGTTACCACTGCAGTCTCCTTCTTGAAGTAGGCGTCAAGGGTTGTTTGTACAGCCATTTTCTTTTCCTCATAATAAATGGCCTTGTAGCAGCTTGAGGGCCTGGCTACAGGGGCAAGTGCCACCGCATGAACAAACTGGGTTGGGTATGCTTGAGCTGATGCCGCAGAATGAAAAGCTGTGAATACAACATCTCTGAAGAACATGGCCACTGAAGAAGCATCATGTAGTTTCTTAGAGATAGATTGCATAGTTCCCTAGTGATAGCTGTGCCTCTCTCTTGGGAACTAGGTTGCCACTGATGATTTGCCAAACAATCACGTAGCTCCCTAGAGGGAGCTGTGACTATCTCTAGGGAGCTACATGGACACTGATGACGCATCACCAAACACATTGTCTAGTTACCTAGAGATACCCATGACTTTTCACTAGAGGTATTCGTATATGGTTTATGGCAGTCCACATGTTCATAAGTATGGGTTGTTTGTAACCCAGACATTGGTAACTTGGGAACTACCTGTCTAAGGAAATGTTCTGCAAAATGCAGATGTAAGGAAAGGCCAGAATTACTTGATGACTTTTTCTATGAGTACATGATTCTGATGGATAATACTGTATAGTCAATTAGTGAACTGAATGATTTTTGCATGTGGCATAAGTGGTCAGTTCTAACTTAAGTAAACTAGAAGTTCTTCAAGAATTTTAATTCATATTTAATCCCTTTAGTTCACATCTAAGTGCTTAATTTCTTAATTTCTTTATAAAGCCATTAGGCAAAGAGAACTTCCTAGAATCATGTGTATTGTGAAATACTTTGATAGGGACAGCTTTAAAATAGGAAGTGTTAACACTTTACATTGGGACAACTAGTTCTTGATTTATATTGATAATATGTTCTGCCTTTCCAGTCTAGAATTGAGCACTTAAGGTGACTTACACAATACAATAATTTAAAAAACAACAGCATATCAAGCTATATAATTAGATGTTGATGTTGCATCTTCATGGGCTAGTTATATCTTGCCAAAGTGGGAAAAACCTCTTTCATCTTTTTTTTTGAATTTAAACTCTGTGTGTTTTCCCACCCACTTGCTTCTGCTCATCTCCTGAACAATTCACTGTTTGCAAACGATGAGTTGGTCCAGCATGTGAACTAGGATATATACTGTCCTATTAAGACTTGCAATAAGAATAAAAATAAAAACACATATGATAAAAGAACATAATATATAAAAAGAACATAACATTATGTGGTAAAGATAAAACAAACCTGAACCATAAAAAGTTCCAGCAAAATAAAAAGATGGGCATCAAGGATTTTAGGCAGTCCTTGGAAGATTTCTAAATGTTCTTGCCAAAACTGGAAGCAGTTTAATCAAAATTAGGACTATACATACTTTACTTCAAATATAAAATTACATATTTCTAATTAGTATTTGGTCTGTACTTAATCTGCGTGTCATCTCTGCCATTTTGTGATCAGCAAAACTCCATCAAATTTATACTATCCTAATGCATTGGCTACATAGTGCAGAGTAGGCCAAATATCAAGACATGACTGTCCAAAGGTAAGGCCAATAAGAAGGGGACCAAAGGCCAAGTGGTTTTCCCAAAATGGTGGTAAACTGATGGGTAAATTTCTAACTTGCCTTCTTTTATCTGCAAATTTGTGGTGAAACATTTGTCTAGTTCAGAAGTTCAGTAGACAGTTTTCAGTCTTTTTCATCACTATGCAGTATGTTGTGTGGTAAAACCTCAGTGATATCTGTGGTACAAATATTGAAGAGGTGTTTGGAACACTTTCTGAAAACATACTTCAAGAATCCTATGGGCACTTTTGCACTGGTCTTTAATCTGCAGTCATGTTTACCATTTTCTGATTAGACCCAGTATGTAAGTACAGAGGACTAAGATTCTCATTCACTCTTTAGTAGGGAAAATATTTTGAGGTCATATTCAAATCCAAGTCTTTTTGATGGTGACTGTAAAACATAGGCTGTTAGAGGCAAAAATCCTGAAAGAGAAAATGTTAGCCAGAGAAGCTTAGGTTAATAATGTACCATTAATTTTTTTCTGCTGATGAAGAGAGCCAGTTACTTAGATTACTGTTTCATACAAGGCATAGCTGAATTTCTGGTTTGTTCTACCTGTAAGATTTTAAACAAAAATAGCAGCCACTTGTATGTTTGCACCATAGATATATTAATGCCTGTACTTGGATTACAGCAAGAATTCTACCCATTTTGCCCTGATAAGATTTGCTAGTAATACATGTGCACCCTTTAGTTTGTAGGCTTGCCAAGGTTTACACCAATGAGTATTCGATGGGAAAGGCCTTCTGTACTGAAAATTATTCAATTTAATCTCATCAGTTCACCATAAACTTTCAGTAGGGCATGTGAAAATTTTTATACAATTACTAAGAATAGAGAGTATGTGTACTGTTGCACTATGGTAGCAGGCAAAATCTCTGAAATGGGGTATTGAGGAATTATTTGGATCAACTGGATTCAAGTCCTCTCTGTTTTCCCAAATACATTTAATCCAGGCCCATCAAGTGTACTAGCCTTGTAGCTGGTATAGGTGTTTGCTATTAATAGATGGACGGGTTAATACATGGATCTGGTGGGCTGAGAAGTCCTACAAACCAACCCAGCATGGCACAAGTTGGCTGGACTGAGTGGGGTAGTAGATCTGCCTCATGGTTCACCAACAGTCCCCCTCAGGGTCGCTTTCTCAGTGTATGTTGGTTTCCTTTCTCCTTGATGGGCAATATTTTCATATGGTTCAATCAGATTCATGCAGAGTGGCTGCTGTTATTATTTGTAAAGTATAGGTGCTGCAAGCTCCCTTTTAGCTTTCATTCATATAATGATTTTCATAGAAATTGTGGCCCCACAGCAGTAAAAGAAATCTGTTGTTGTCATGGATAGGGCATACTTCAGTTAACTGTTTTTGAAGCTACAAGGAGTTTTTAATACTAATTTTTCAATACTTTTAATTTTGGTCAGCCTCTTATAAATTAGATTTATTGGGTTTGACTGATTTGTTGCCTTGTTAATGAATTTTGTAGTACTGCAGTATAAGCAGTATTGGATTTATGTAACAGTTTCCCTGAACGAATATGGGCAAATAATTTAGGGTTCACATATTCTTTCCTGTTAGAGTATCCAGGCTTTATTTGTGATCACCACTGGCAGCCCCCACTGAGTCCTTTGGAATGCACAGAGGACATGGGAGAGGGAAAGGACCAACCCCTTACTTCACTCAATATGTTTTGAGAGACATGGATGCAACAGAAATTTCTTTTGGTGCTCTGAAGCATGCAGTGAAGTGATGACTGACCCCTGCTTTACCTTAAAGCTTTGTCACCACTTGCCAGAGAATTGGGAAATGGACAGAATCTGTCCCGTCCAGCAAGAAATGGGAAAACTCCTTCCACCACTGGGTTCCTTTAATGTGTGGAAACAAGATGGGGGGGGGGGGCTCTTGTTTCATACTGCTTGTACAGGGGCAGATGGTTTCAAGAAAGAGAACTGTGATAGAATACATAACCGAATGCAAATATATATACATGTTCATACCAGTTACAACTGTAAGTGCATAACAAAGTTTTAGCATTATTGCTTGTTAAATTATCTTACAGTGAAATCCTATACATGTCTATTTAGAAGTAAGCCCATTGAATTCAGTGGAGCATAATTACATGTAAGTACAGGATTGCAGCTTTAATAGCTCTAAATAGTATTTATGTGTTTTGCAACATTGCTGCAGAAAGTCCTTCATTTGACAACTTCAATTAAATACATAATTCCTGTTTACAAGTGACCAATTAAGCTGAATTATATTTTCACTGCTAATTCTTATAATTGGAACATTTTTTTACCATTAGTATGTTTGGGAAAAAAATCAGTTTGGTTCTGCAGTTCATGACATTCAATTGCATGGGTTCTTCAGGTAAAAAATAGTAAGAGGCCATTGGATTGCATATTACCTGATGTGGGAATATCTTGATAAAACTTTAAAAAATTGGCCATTTTTAAAACAGAACACTAATACTATAGAACATTTCTATTCTATGTTCTATCTATAACATAGAATAGAAATAAATAGCTTTTGTATGCAGCATCTCTTTGCAATTCATTGGTTGATTTTATAGGAAACATTTGAGGACTGCATATTAAATAAAGCTGCCTGACAAGAATTAGGATGCTGGTCAAGCAAACACGTGAAATGTGTGAGGCATTGGGTCTGATTCATGTAGAATCTTCTCTGTATACCTCCACTTGACTTTCTTGAGTACAAGATTTGCACAATAGAGTATCAGTGTTAATTGGACTGTGTGTGATGTTATGGACTCATACAACCTAATTTTATATAGAGTCTGATTTTCACTGAGATTTTTCCATCTGGTCTCATATCCAGGAATTTATGGGATGGATCATAAAAAGCCATGCAGGACAGCATTCACATCTAAGTGCAATTAAAAATTCCAGTATTGATAATTACTTAAAGCTTATTGCAACTTTTTTTCTTTCTTTATTTTGTTAACATGTGACTGTCATCCATCTCAGTCAGATACTGCCATATAACAAAGTGACTTATGGGAATAATTGTAGTCCCCTTCCCTCATTCTATATGTAAAAAGAGGCAACAGAGCCACATGACTGGTCCCGCCATGGCATTGCATACCTTCCCCACTCTGAATATCCTCATGTCGAGCATGGCTGTCTGCATATATGAAGCCATTGTGTGTAAACCTCTGCTTGAGGTGGAATCCTGAATCATTGGGTTTCCAGCCTGCATGGAAGTCTGTGCATGTAGGCATTACCTTTGCAGGCGTCTAAGTTCAATGCATAATAGGCACTAAGGTAGGATCAAGGAGCCATGTAATTTAAATATCTGTTTAAGATAGTATAAGTGCTCTTATTTTTACTGGGTATCTCATTATTGATCTTTATGCATTTAGTTTTCATAACTATTGGAAAATCTAAGATTCTGTCACTTAGATATTTTGGTGCAGTTCTTCTCTTTGTAGTATTCTACTTATTTATAGTTTATAAAATTTCAATTTAAGGTAATACTTTAATCCAGGCCATTGTCTTATCCTTCACTGTTTTTTTACTTTAATACTTCCATTATGCAGGACTAGAGATGTCTAAGTCTGGAAATGAAAGAGAACATTAGGAAAAGGGGGGGGTAACAAGTGGGGAAATGATTTATTTTGGCTTTCTCCCCTCTGGTGGAACACAGTCCTTTTTACTGCATACATGCACTTGTCTCTTTACATTTACCTTTTCTTTCTTCAAAACAAAGGTCAAAAAAGGTGTGGAGGGGGGAAAAGAGAGAGAGAACAGTGATGATGCATTGGTATAGTACAGTTTATGTCAAGGCAAGATCCACTAGTTGATGACCAATATGTAGTGATCTGACTATATAATAAATGGGGGTATTTGAACCATCTTTATATTATAATTACTATGCTCTGAATGTTATATAATTTTCATTGGAATACTTGTAAAAATTTAAAGACAGTGACTTGTATTTTCCTTACATTGCTTACATTTAAGAAGTAAAACAAAAATACTAAAAACTTTGATACTATAATATTTGTAAGCTAAAGAAATATGCTTGATATGTTGACAGCCACTTAACTATTTCAGCGGACTCTCTTTCACTAAGGCTGTTGTGGCATCTTCTAATTTTCTGTCAATATCTATTTCACTTTGAGACATATATTTCAGTGACACGTATGCATTCTTTACTTATCCAGAATAATCATCTGAAAAACATTAATTAGAATTTTGAAAGTGGCAAAATTTGAAACTTGCCTAATATTTGTATTTGCAAGGAACATACACTAATTTTACTTATGAACTTAAGAATTTTCAGCCCCACATCACTGGCTGATAGATGCTATATAGAAAGTTGTGTTCCTGTTCTAAGGACAGAGAAGGCTTCCCTTGTCTAGCATCCCTCTGTCTCCTTTTCAACTCTAACCCTCAACCAATAGCTGAGCCAGCGAACACAAAAACCCTTCAGGAAAAGATGTGAAACTCCTGCTGTGATTACCAAATTAGGTCAAAATTAACCTTATTGTGCCTAAATAAATAAATAATTCACTAGGCTCCTGGTGTTGGAGATGGATTCCTTATAGAACATGGTACCACATTCCAGTCAGTCTTGGTGCTGCACTGTGCACTCAGATGGAGTGACCAACTGACCCCATAGCTCATGCACCCCAGTTGCAGTGACTCATATTGAGTCTGAATGGTTTTATGAAAAATCCTTAGAGGTATGTGACTAAAAGAGTTTGTTTTCACTGAGTAGCAAGGGGTCCAACATTTTTCATGCCCTCTGTTTTTATTATGTTACTGTTTGAGCTGGTCATGGAAAGGGGAACAAGCCTGGCTATCACAGCATTGTAATGAGTGGGATGCTGTGACTTGGGGTCCTGTGCCAGCAGCTGGTTGGACCCAACAGCTTTCTGGGCTCCTACTGATCCTACTATTCTATGAATCTATGAACAATTACATCTGCATTAAAGCAGGTTGTGATGATAATACTTCCCTCTCCTCATCCTGCTTACCTTTTGTGTTGAGACTTTTTAGAATATAAGCCTGAGTGCAGGAAGTGACTTGGATTTACTGTTTTGAAAGGAAGGCACTCTGGAAGTCTTTCTGTTTGAATAGTGGGGTGTAAATGATTTAAATAGTAAGTACATAGATGAATCCATGGTACTAGGAAAGAAGAACTATTAATTTTCAACTTACTTATCTTCATAGTGGAATATCAAACATTATCCTGAAATAGACTGTGTGACTACTTGAATCTTCCTTGCCATGGGCGTAAATTAGCTCTGTGAGAAAAGGAAAATTCAGATGACCTGACTGAGGTGTTATGTAGCCCAAGTACTTTTGCCCTGTTTTCAGCAAAACCCCGACTATGTTTTGGGAGTGAAAGGGGGGAAGTTACAAGATGGCTTTGGGTCACATTGTACTGTTTCAACACTCAGGTTGAATCCAACATGCTGAGCGAAACCTGAAATGTAGCTGTGCTCCCCTGCGTATGAAAGGGCCTCCAGAGAAGCTGCACACAAGGGGCTCCACTGGGGCCCTAGGTCAATGATTCCCAAGGGCCTGTTTGAGAGCTGAGATGACTGGGTTTGGTTTGTTCCTTGCGGTGGCAGCTGCTACCAGTTTTGGCGCTGCACCAGGCTGTGCATCCTCAGATGAGATTACCTGCAAGTGCCAGGTCACCACAAGTGTTAAAGTGACTCGGTTTATTTTCTTTATTCTTTGAAGACAGAAAATGTCAAATTACCTCTCTGTAGGGAGGTTAATTTATTTCCCCTGCTCCCCCAGTTAAGGATGCTTTTGGACTAAAAGTTCCCTCCAATCAGCACAGCATTGACTCTTCTCCAGCACTTTATTGGCTCCAATAATCTGCAAAAGTTACTCTATGAAGGGTAGCAGGTTAAGCCCTGCTTTGGTCTTACAAACTTAGTTTTATAAGGTGCAAATTCCCCCTCTTAAAATAAAGAAAAAATCGTGCATTTAAAAGCATGGAGAAGGTGAATAAATGGAAATATGTTGGAGTGCATAACTGAAAATGGTATTGAAGAAAAGACTTGGGGTACATCACATTGATGCTGCAGAAACCATCTAGTAGGTATCCATGGTATTGGCATGGCTATATTTCTAATGGTGAAATGGCAGCAGTTCTTAGAGTTGTTTATGGGCAGGATGTTTCAGGACCTAGGCAGACTTTTCATCATTTGCTAAATGTCTAAAATGTCTAAAAGTGGGGGATCTTTAGCTGAAGAAAGGAAATGAATGCTTAGTTACCTTAGAAATCTCCTGGTAAAAGTACCTTCCATATAGAAAAGTGTAGTTAGTTTTGCATTTGTCGGCGAGTGCAATTCTTTTACAGCTGAAGAAATCTGGTGGGGAACTGCAATAATGGTCTGCCCATTACATGTTTACTTGGGGAGATTACAGATGTGACTATCACATGCCTAATGACTGATGCACAGGATTCATACAGTTTGAATAGAGGTGACTTTTATTTAGGAAAAGCTGTCTTGTGAGAAATAGGCCTGTGGGGGGCAAAACATTATAATTAAAGATATTTAAGGGAATGATGAAAAAACCAGATTGAAAAGGATTTAAGACATGTAAACACTTTAAGTATCTGATGTTTTAAATATGTGCTGGACAGATTTAAAAGGCATTAGTAGTCTAATCATAATGCTTTAAAACTAATGTTCCTTTTTTAAAGCTTACCCATGGTAATGATTTGAGTGCAGTTACAAATGAACAGTGTGCTCTCTCAGGTTAAAGATATTAAAAATTTGACACCACTCTGTGTGTGTGTGTGTGTGTGTGTGTGTGTGTGAGAGAGAGAGAGAGAGAGAGAGAGAGAGAGAGAGAGAGTTCATGTATCAACAAACATGAAATGATACAACATGAAACATAACTGACAACAAGCATAAAACAACTTATCAACAATGAGCTTGATACAGCAATACAAATCTATTATACTGTAGACTTTATTTATTATATTTATGTTCAGCTTTTTCCAGTGAAAAAGAGGTGTACATCATTTTTCTCATCCTGCTCACCATCTTATCCCCTAAACAACAACCCTGTGAGGTAGACTGGGCTGAGAGTCTGTGATTGGCCCAAAGTAACTCAGTTGGCTCCATGACTTGAATGGGGACTAGAATCCAGATCGTCTGAGTCCCAGTCCCATGCTTTTAATCACTATATCACACTGGGTTTGGCTACCAGCCTAGATTTAGCTAGGGGATATTAATCAGGTCTTTTCACATGGTTACATGCAACTGTGAAGGTTTTAATATAGCTGGCTAAAGAACTCAAGAGTTACCAGCATGTCTGAGTGTCATTGCCATTATCAATAATTGCATTATTGTGCATGGCCCATAGATCTCTGCTTAATTTTTGTAGGAAGAACATATTCTAGCATCTCTTTTTCCGGGTTTCAGTTGCTGGTCCATGTGTAGATTTCTAGATTTTTGTGAGTTCCATTATGGCTGTAGTCCAGAAGAATCTTAATGCATCTTTATGCAATAGATGCTTCTTATCTCCCATGAAGAGGGACAGTAGTCTGAGTTCCATTGTTTAACATGTGGCGTGTTCTGTAACTGTTCTTGCTAAATGCAATATGGCTACTTAGAATATGTCTAATTTTCTATCCCACCACATCTGTTTAAAAGCCCCTCCCTGAGCATAACTTGTCCAGCATTGAGGGCTGTTCCAATATAGCTGATTTGTCCTGGGGTGAGATGCCACTTATGTACCGCTTCAATTATATTTTCTTTTAATTTAAATGAAATTGATTTTTATGGAGACAGTATCCACAGCAAATTTCCCTGACCAGCTTCAGTGGTGATACTCAAATATTTTCCCCACATTTATCTGTCTTATGCTATTACTGTTGATATTTCTGAAAGCCCTTTGTATATTTCTGACATCAGACCTTTTGAACTGGGATTAATTTCTGTTGGTAGGTAGGTAGTTGGTTAGAGATCATACCACCTGTGGTACCACTTCAGGAATTGAGGTAGAATGTATAATTTGGCCCCGTTGTAAGCAGTTGGGTTTTAATTTCCCTCAGTTGTTCCTTTAGTTGAAATCCATTTCTTTGTTCTGAGTCATTAAACAGATCTTTCACTGACTGCGTCTCCCAGTCCTAAAACTGTGTAAATATATCAGTATTTTTTTTAAAAGTAAGCACATAGTATTAATATTAACCCCAATTTTTCAATGCCTCCAGATTAGCTGTCAAGAAGGAATTGCCAAGAGGGAAAGTTATATTAATTTTCTCTATTTTATGGAATGGTACATCCATTACTCTCTTATTCAGGGATACTTATTCAAATGACTCTAATATTTGTTGGCATCATTAGCTATAATATGCAGCATTTATTGGTTCGAAATGCTAGAGTATAGGTGTTGGGTACATTCAGTCTCCCTACTGCTGTGCTTGGCAGAGTATGATTATTAAGATAAGTTTTTTAAATCATAAAGCTGATGAGCATTTTTTGCCATTTTTTTTTCAATGTGAAGTCCAGAATAGTAATTGGAAACATTGACTGCCATTTTTGTTGCAGTCTTGCTAAGTCTTCCAAGCTTTAAATTTAGTTTTTATTTTATCAATGGGAAATAATTTGGCATTTGGACTTTCAAGTATTTAATTTTATCAGAGCCAGTAGTGATACCATTATCTGCTTCTTGGATATTTCTCATGGTTATGCTAATATTTAAACATAAACCTATAGGCTGACTGACTTTTATAAGTAATACAACTTTATCACATTCACTAATCAGCTTCATAGCTTGTATCAATGCACTAGTTGGGTCTGTTAGGGTTATGTCAGCTTGTGAAAAGTTCTTTTTTAAATTTAACTGACCATTAACTGTTATCCCTTTATGTTTGAATCTTCCTTGATCATATGTATTAGGGGTTCAGCTAAGAACGCAAATAACAGCTGGGGCAGCAGGCAATTTGTTAGGTTTGCTAATTACATTTTTCCAGAGGTGATACCATCACTTTGTATCATTTTGTTATACATATAGTCTAAGACCTTGCCCTAAACTTCCCTTTGTACTCTCGAATTTAATCTTCGATGAGGCTTCATTTTCATTTGCTAAATGCTTTAGTAGCATCCAGGGAAGCAATCACATGTTCTTAAACAGAGTAAATAAGGCAATATGTTTTTCATATGAGTTGTTGAAGTAGGCTGTAGCTGACTATCTTTGCATTTCTTTATTTTATGAATTATTTAAATTATCCCTAATGATTGAGTTTAATTTGGTTAGATATTTTTTCTCCTGATATTATATGAGAAAAGCTGGAATAATCAAATGTGCATAGGTTTTGAAAAATACTTGCAGGTTGATTATTAATTTAAGATGGTAGGTTTTCCCTATTGCCTGCCTTTCCTTTTGGCATGTCTTTTAAAAATTCTGTTTGCTAAGAGTTTGGAATTTGAAATATTGTAAGTCGATTGCACTTTTGTTTGTTTCTAGTGCTTTTACTTCTGTTCATTTCAGTTCTAATCTGTTCAAAAATCACTTTATTTCCTATATTTTTCTTCTAAGTTATGGATCTCTGAGGGTAGTTGATTTTTTAAAGTATATTTCATCATTTGATTTGATTAAACTCTTCTGTGGACTATCTCTTTATGACTACTGTCATGGAACCACACATGCTATGGGATTCTGTGTTTGATGTATTATTATATATGTAGAAGTCATTTGATTCTTTTCTTGATTCCTGTCATAAGAGTAGGGTTTCCAGGAAAACAAATTTTGTTGAGAGTGCCTTATGTGGAAATAGTAACTGGCACTGGGTCATAATCAGATACTGTGTCTGATCATTGGTTTCCCCCAAAATACACCAGATTATGATCTCTCTGAATGTTAATGGAAGATTATTTAGGATCATGGTATTCAAACTGTGTTTCCCAAAACCCCAGAGTTCCATGAGAATCATCCAGGGGTTCGACATTTTACTCTTATGACTGCAGTGAAATTGTACGTCTGTGACAAGGCAAGGTCTTAATTTAATTTAATTTAATTCAAAATTTTTTCACACATAAAAGCAGATTAATTTGTTTTAAAGCCAAAGAGCTTTTTTATTTGAATAGATTTGGATTGCAAGGTATAGCAGTTATACTGGCTTGATAAAGCATCTGAAACTGCTACTCCCAGAATCCTCTGCATAGGACACTCCCATGGAAAGCTGAAAGGCCAGCCAATCAGTTACCTGCAGTTGCCAGCAGCCATCTTTCTATCTGCTTGCCCCTTAACAAATTGAATAACCCTTTTGAGATAATTCCTCCCTCTGGCTATCCAGGCTGACACAAACATTTTCTCTTGCTTGTTGGAGAGCGCGAGTGTGCCTTTAAGTTCACTGTCTCACTTACAGTGATCTGTGAAAGATGGAAAAAAGCAAGCCTTTCTCTCCATTGTCAGCATTTGATTGACAGGGCTGTGAGCAAATTAGCCAATCCTAACCAAAAAGCAAATTCAAACAAAGTTGAATCAAGAAGAAAAAAAGTTTACTGTTTAAACACAGCGAGTCATTCACTTCAAATTACATAAAGGTATGTGGGAAAAGTCTCTTGATTTGTGCAATGGAATAGATTTTGTGATTGATGTGACTGAAAAAATAAAAAATTTGATTTTAATAGACTTGCCCTTTACAATGGACCTTTGTTTAAAAGCAGGAAAACTTAAACAAAAATCTGATCAAATTGAAGAAAAACACGAAAGTTCTTCAGCAACATCTCCATTTACTTCTGGACCAATTAAAAAACAGAAATTACATAAAGGTGGTTAAAAAGAAAAAGGATGAAAATATGATCAATTTAATATGATTAAGTTTTAGGAACAGAAATGAAAATGGGCCAAACAGAGTATGTGTTGAATGCAAAAAAGTGGTAAGCAATAATAGTCTAACTCCACAAAATTAAGAAGACATATGGAAAGTAACCACCTACATTTGATAAGCAAAAATGTAGAATATTTTAAGCATAAATACGAGGAGTTCAAAATAAATTGTACATAAATTGTGGAAAAATAGTGCTTTTGAACTTTTCATATTTATACGTAAAAATAACCGTGGCTTCCTAACTCATTAATTATCATGTTGCTAAAGAAGGGGAGGCATATTTATTTGGCAAAAAATAAAACCTGTGTCAAAGATCGAATTAACTGATAGCATACCTCTGATACAATGAGTGTTAGATGCATTAGTGATATGGCACTTTTGGGGAGCATGAATTAATATCTCATTTAAAATCTCGCTGTGTTTTCACATCCTTTGCCAGTTGCCAGTTTGGCTATTTTAATTGTTCTGGTATGTTATATTTTCAGTTTCCCTGTCTAAGAGGATATTCTTATGTGCAGGCCTCTTAAGAATAGCGCAACTGGTGAAAACATTTTTGATGGAGAACCATGGACTATCTTGGGATTTATGTTTTCACATTTGTACTGAAGAAACAAAACGTTATGAGGTCCCCTCCAATCATACAAAGAATAAAAACATTAGCCTCACTTATTCAGCATTGTCATATACTGCTGTCTGCACTATCATGCTCTTATTGAGAAATGAATTCCCAAAAAAGACATTTAAGATGATGTTTTGAAAAACAATTTTATTAAATCTAGGTAGGAAGCTAATCTCAAGATTATTCTCATTACTCTGTTCAGAGCTATCTAGTTCTTACAAAATATTGCTTCTACTTGTAGAGTTATTCTGGCTATCCCAAGGAACATTTTTGAGCAGGTTTTTTGAACTGAAAGAACAGGTAATTTTTTTTAACCTTGGCTGAAAAATGATTATTGCTCAAAATTACAAGGCAGATTCTGATATACTTTCATTTTTGAATGCAGTAAATATATCCCTCCAAGGAACTAAAATTCATATATTTAAAGATAATGCTAGAATAAATGTCATAATTTTAAAATTTAATATATGGATTTCATGCATACAAAAAAGATGTAAACTGCTTTGAAAAATTAAGTGATTTCTTGCTACAAAATGATCTGAATCATCCTATAAATGTTCAGGAATGCATAAAAAAGCATTTGTTGTATCTGCAAAAACTATTAGAGAATATTTTCCAGTGCAAACAGAATCATATGACATCATATACATTATATCACAGAAGTATCACACAAAATATTGACACTTTGGGCCCAATTTGGACAGTTTCACTTAGGGGTGTACTCACTTTTGTTGCCAGTGGTTTAGATATTAATGGCTGTGTGTTGAGTTATTTTGAGGGGACAGCAAATTTACACTGTTATACAAGCTGTATACTCACTACTTTACATTGTAGCAAAGTGTCATTTCTTCAGGGTAGTCACATGAAAAGATATAATAAAATATTTACAAAATGTGAGGGATGTACTCACTTCTGTGATATACTATATATTACTTGCTTGCTAGTTGCAAAGTCGTGCCCGACCCATCGCGACCCCCATGGACAATATTCCTCCAGGCCTTCCTGTCCTTCACTTAAGCTCACACCGACTGCTTCTGTGGCTCCATCTATCCACCCAATCCTTTACCATTCCTTTTTTCTTCTGCAGTCAATTGTTCCCAGAATTAGGGCCTTCTCCAGTGAGTCCTTCTCATTAGGTGGCCAAAGTATTTGAGTGTCATCTTCAGTATCTGACCTTCTAAAGAGTAGTCAGGGTTGATCTCCTCTAAGACGGACTGGTTTGGTCTCCTTCCCCAGCACCACAATTTAAAGGCCTCAATTCTTTGGCTCTCAGCCTTCCTTATGGTCCAACTTTCACAGCCATACATTGCAAAAGGGAAACCATGGCCTTGACTATACGCACTTTTGTTGGCAGGGTGATGTCTCTGCTTTTTAGAATGCTGTCTAGATTTGCCATAGCTTTCCTCCCCAGGAGCAAGCGTCTATTCATTAAATTTATTGGCTGCAGTCCCCGTCTGTCGTGATCTTGGAGCCCAGATAAATAAAATCTGTCACTACCTCCATTTCTTCCCCATCCATTTGCCAGGAAGTGATAGGACTGGATGCCATGATCTTAGTTTTGTTAATGTTGAGTTTCAGGCCAACTTTTGTGCTCTCCTCTTTCACCCTCATCAAGAGGCTCTTGAGCTCCTCTTCACTTTCTGCAATTAGAGTGGTATCATGATGTGCTCTGCATAAAAGTTAAATAGGCAGGGCAAAAGTATACAGCCTTGCCGAACTCCTTTCTCAATTTTGAACCTATCAGTGGTTCCATGTCCTGTTATCAC